AATATTACGTGGTATTGTAACTATAACATTTTAAAAAACAATCCATTAATAGATGAGAACTTTATATTAGTTTTAATCAATGCAAAAAATAATAATAAATAAGGGTCAAATAAAAAAAGTAATACCTAATTTAGTTATAGTTACAAATAATTCGAGATAACTAGAGTAACTTTGTTTCTTTTTTTAAGGTTTAATGTACCAACTTCAAAGAAGATGGAGAGTAAACATGTGAATTTAATTACAACTATATGTGAATAATGTTTTGTTTATTTGATTTTGATTTTTTGTACGCATAAATTTCATGCATGTAAATTAATGTTTTTGTCATTTATGATATGTAGGACGATACTTTATGTTATATTCATTGATATTGTTGTTAAGAAATAAAATTCGTATTATGGTGTTGTTGATATTAATTACATCATTTCTAGATTTTTTTTTTTACAGCAAAATGAATTATTATTATTACATTTTGAGTAAAGGAGCAGTCAGCCCAAGCTTACATTATTCTACTTTCTAAACAACACATATAGGCTTCCCCACCTGATGCGCAAAATGTTTATATAGCTATACAAGACTATTTTTGGTTTGCCCACTTCTCTTGCAACATTCTACAGACATTCCGACTAATGCAACTTCCCGGTGCAATCATTTCCACATATTGTGATTACAAACTATTATTTCAGGTTAAATACCTAATTTGGTCCCTTAACTTTCATTTTTAAACCAAATTTACCCTTGAACTTTAAAAAGTAATAAAATTGTCTCTAAACTTCAATTTTTGGGACCAATTTAGTCCTTTCGTCGACGGAAGTGCCAAATGGCATGTTAAGTTGCCATGGAATTAATTTTTGTTTTAAATCTTTAATGACGTGGAAAATAACTTACTTACCGTAGCATTTTTGTTATTCATGTCAGATTCCCACTACTTTCACCCTTCCCTTTAGTGGGGTCCACCTAAAATGTTTCTATATTTCTAGGGTTTTGGTCTGCAAAGATGAAACTTTCTTCCTTTCTCTTTCTCTTTCCTTGTTTGATCTCAAACCCTAAAACCTACAAAGTTTGCAATTTGCTTCAAGCATAAATCTCCATCAAATCTTTTCAATTTAGTCTAGAAAGCTAGGCTCACATGGACCATTATACTAGGCAAAAGAACCCCAAAGAACCAGATGTTGTACCTCAAGAAGTTATAGACTTGGAGTCTATGGATATCGAGGATACAATATGTTTTGTTTCTTGATTCTCAATTGTCTCACAATGTCTTCGTTGTTTGGCTTTATCATGTTAGAATATTTTGGAACAAGGGTTGGGTTGGTCGGGTATATGAGTAACATTCAAGGTTTTTAAAATCGAACCGGTCATTGAACCGTTTTCAGGTTCAGTTCTTGATTTAATCAGTTCAATCGGTTTAATCGGTGAACCGATCGATCCAAACAGCAAAGGAAATCCAACGAGAAAAGCAGGCTGCAGGCAGGATTTTCTAATTTGGTGTTTGATAATTTTGTTAAAATTAAAGGTTAAAATGGGTATAAGAAAGGAATGGGAAGGGTGAAATTGGAAAAAATGAAAGAAGATTGCATGAGAAATTGAACCGGTGGTTTTTTCGGTTTCATCGGTTTCATTGATTTGACCGATTTTGACCAATTTTTGACCAGTTTTGACTGGTTTTGACATCAAACAGTTCTTTCATGTAAACCAAACCATTTTCATCATCGGGTACTGGTCCGACCGATTCAACCGATCAGTCCGGTCTGGTTTTAAAAACCTTGGTAACATTGAGAGAAACAAAGGACATTAGGATATATGATGTTTATATATTTGTTTTAAAGTTACTTTTGGTCCCTACATTTGTTGTCTATATATATACTGAACTATGATTCTATCACTATTGGTGAAGGAAATAATGGCGAAGAGAAAGAGGATCAATTTGTTTCTGGTCTTAAGATCCAAAATGATGCTAAGGTCCAAATTGATGGCTGCAAAGTGGCTGAGGAAGCTCAAGATGAAGGTGGCCTTGAAGACGTCCTTGGGTTGTCTGATAATGATGATGATGAGACTATTCTAGCAAGGGATAATCTAAGGAATTTTAGAGCAAATCAAATTGGGGTTGCTTCTAGTTCTGCAAGAGCAGGTATTATATTTAGTTAGTAAATTATATTATTCATTTAGAGTTAATTTGCTTTATTTATATTTGTTGTTAATTTCACATTGTAGGTAATGTAGATGTAGGAGTCCAAGATGAGAATGATGGAGAAACACAATTTGATGATGAAGTGAGTTACATATCCACAAGTAATGAAGAGGATGAAGAAATAGACCATGGTAGGAGGAGGAAAGCTAGACACAAAGTGTATAAAGAAGTTGAAGGCATTCCAAAAATTGAGCTTGGCATGATATTTTTGAACAAGAAACAATTTTAAAAAGTTGTGGATCAATTGAGCATTAGACAAGAGAAAGAGATTGCATGGAAAAAAAAATGATAGTAAAAGGATAAGGGCAGTATGCAATGATCAGAATTGTAAGTGGAGGATACTATTGGCATTGGCATTTGACAATCTTACTGAGTCTTAGATGGTAAAAACCTTCAGTCCTAATCACACATGTATAGTGAATGTTACCAACAAGCTTTGCATATCATCTATTGCTGTCCAGCATTTGGAAAAGACAAAAGGAGCATCTACTCTACATTTTAATAAAGAAGATATTTTTACTGAAATTAAGATTTATTTAGGTATGGAGTTAACAACTGTGCAATGTAAGAAGACTAAGATGAAGTTGAAAAAGACCTTTGATTGCTTTGCTGAGGCTGAATACAAAGTCTTATTTGACTATGCAAATAAATTAAGGTCAAAAGATCTAGAAGTAAATATTGCGCTTCAATGTGCTAGACCAACAACAGATATGAATCCTATTTTCTCGAGAATTTATGTCTGTTTTAGTGCATTAAAGAAAGGATTCTTATCTGGATGCAGACATATAATAGGAGTTGACAGTGCATTCCTTAAAAGTGCACATAAAACCACTATTGGAAGAGATGCAAATGATCAAATATATCCCATTGCATAGGCTATTGTGGAGGTTGAGACAAGGGAGGCATGGGAATGGTTTCTTGAAGAATTGGGAAAAGATTTACTACTGCGTAATGGAAAGAATTTATGCATTATATCTGACTAGCAAAAGGTAAGAACATGATTTGTTGTTAGCTTAATTAAGAGGACCAATTTAGCCTTTTTACTTTGGACAAACTTTGCCCCTCAACTTTTGGAGTGTTTTACCCTTCACCTTACAAAGTACGAATATATGCCCCTCACCTTAAATCTTTTGCGTTGAGGCAAAATTTAAAGTTAACCGTCATGTGCAGGTGCAGCACATGCACATTAAGCCTCCGTTTTCCAGTTACACAACAGTGCCATCTACTCACTAATTTTACACTTCAACATTGTCAGCGATCTCATATGTATGAATACCTGGGTTTCACTTTAATTTGTACCATTTGAATAAAAATTTTAAAAACAAAACAATTAATCATTGCCTATATTTAATTTTTTCAGAGCATACTATTAATTATAAAATTAAAATAATTAAATTTTAAAAGAATTTATTTAATATGTGCCTTCAAACATAAATTAAAGGTGTAAAATATATATTTT